AGGATTAGGAGCGAGAGGATCAAACTGCTGAAGGAATGGCTCTAGATGAACAAAAAACACGTGGCCCTCTATGGAAGTCTTTTCACCAAGGTTGCAAGCTTAAGATTCTCATGGTTCTGGAGAAACAACTTTATATGAACGATTACATTTTTCTTTTTGTTTTTTTATCATGAACAGTATGTTTCTTTGGTTGAGTTTTTGTTTTCTTCTAGTACAACTCCGGAGTTTGGGGTTGGGAGATGAAAAGTCTGTTTCAATTGCTTTTGGCTCAGCATACCCATTTTAGGATCAGCAAGCTAAGTCATATTGTTTCATGCAAAGTGATTGACTTGAAGTCTCAGAGCTGACGGTCGGTAATGAAAATTTATCTTTATGATATTTGCTTGAATTCTGATTATTCGATATAAGTCACATTCTTCCAAAAAAAATATTAATAGTTGAATAAATAAACCTAATTAAACCAAGTTACATAATGAATATATTACGTGTAGAATTATTGATATACATAAATAAGTACAAATAAGTACAGTTTTAAACAAAATGTATATTAGTATCATGTTTGGCCATGATAAAACGAGCACAATAAAGTTATTAAATCCATATACAATACTACTTTTAACAAATGCATATACAACAACTACTAATGAGCATATCAAAAGGGGTTTTTTCCCTGAATATTACTAAACTAAATTTGATTTTCGAAAATGTGACCATATATATATTGGACAGAAATATGACTAAGATGATTATATAATTGGAAAAATATGAAGTGGCTGCCAAATACTCACGTCACTGTCCAATTTTCATGTCACTGCCATTGTCTCCATCGCCCGTGTCACCGCCTTCGTCATCACCCGTGTCACTGCCGTGACGGCGGCCACCGCTCACCGCCATCGGGGCCGGTCTCAGTGACATCTCTGCAGTGACATTTCTATAGTGACATCTCTATCATCGGCCACCACTGCGCCGTTAATGATAGTGACACATCCGTAGTGACATCCCCGCAATTACACACAGTTACTCCGGTCACCGTCCTCGGGTCAGCTCCCACCGCCTCCCCTTAAGTGACCATCACTCCCCAATCAATAACCAAACCCTGCACTACCACCAATGCCTCACCCCTACACCACTGTCACTGTCCCCCACTCTCCAGCCCTGCACCACCGCCACTGTCCACCGGCCACCCCACACCACTGTTACTGCCACCGCACACCCCACACCACCGTTACTATCCCTGCAAACCCCACACCACCATCGCGGCGTCACTGCACCACCTCCACCCCAACCAGGCCATCACCCAACGCCGCCCACTACCACCTCAAACCTAACTGTAGCCGCTGACGCCCAACGCTGCGCCCCCACTACCCCAGACCCAACCCTAGAAAAAAGGAGAAGAATGGGACCGCGACAGAGATGGAAAAAGACGATTTGCGAGAAGAAGAGAAATTAACTTCATCCGATCTTTGAAAAAATAGCAAGGGTTGCAGCGCAGAGAGAAGTCTTCGACTGAGCGCATAGAGAAATGCTTCGACTGAGCGTAGAGAGAAGTCGAGCCGAGATGAGTTGTGTTACTCATTTTTTTTGTCTAAATCAAATTTGGTCATATTTTTGTCTAATAAAAGCTGAGAAGTAATATTTGTACCATTGTTTCTATCAAAAATGAAAAGTGGAAATCCTCAGTTACAATCGGAGAATGCTCACCGTACAAAGTCTATTATAGAAATTACCGACATATGCTTCTTATTTGTCTAAAATAAATATAATGAATGGTAATGAATATTATGGAATTTAAGGGTCCGTTTGGTAAAACCTGAGCTAGCTCATTCGATTGAATCTGCTAAATTATGGAGTCTACAACCGATGCGTTTAGCAGGTTCATTACATGAATTAAATTTTCTTGTTTGTGGACTTCAAGTATTTAGAAATTTCTGTTTTTTTTTCTTCAGAAAAAGGTTGTAGCTGTATTCAGGAACCATAGAAGAGTACTGCAAATAGCATGTGTCACATAAAGTTAGCATGTTGGTTATGGATAAAGATAAGGACCACTTTTTTCTAAGTTCAAACCTCTATCTAATTCCCTCATAAGCAAAACAAAGGAAATACCAAGCAATTGTGATGAAGTGATAGGAAATCTACTCTATTAATATTTCTTGCCTCAATAAAAGACTACTACAAGTTGAAAAGACCAACACTAAGGGAGTGTTTGCAATTGCTTCAACTTTTAAAAAAGTGATTTTTTAAAGTGATTTTGGGAAAAGTGATTAATAGTAAAAGTTGGTAGTGTTTGAGAAAAAAGTGATTTTGAAAAAGTAAAAGTTGGTAGTGTTTGGTAAAATAAGTACTTTTTGTGTAATAGAAAAAGTGAGAAGCAGTTTAAAGCACCCTTCTACCTGCTTCCAGCTTTTAGCTTTTAAGTGATTAATTTAAGCAGAAGCTGTCATTTGAAAACACTTTTTTCAACTTTTTTTAAGCCAAAAGCTGAAAAGTGCTTTTTTTAAGCAACCCCAAACACTCCTTAACAAGAGAAACAAATGATGTTAGTCGGTGAAGAACTCATTAAATAGAGAAATTTACTCATATTTGTACCCAATGTTCTAAAAGGCGCTAGGCGCTAGTCGGGCGCTAGCACAGCGCCTAGGCGGCTAGGCGGACGCCTAGGCAGGGATTAATCGGAGACATAGAAATTATAGTTTTATTAATATTTTGCATAAATATGATTAGTAATGTTGTGTTTATGTGTATATATTCACTATATAAAATATAAACACACGCATACACACACTAACATGCATGAATGATAAGAATTTTTACATTTAATAACATATTATACATACTTGCTTCTTAACTTCAAGTAATACTACCAAATAATAACACTTACGAATATATATAATAACATGTATAGTATTTATTTTAATCTACAACTAGTAGCTTTCTTCATATGCATTGTTAGAGTTAAAGATACATATATCTCCTAGAATACTAAAATAAAATGCAAAATAAAATGTTCAATAAATCTAGATGCCTAGGCGGCCGATTAAGCGCTCTAGGTGGGTAGTTAGGCGCCTTAGGTGGCCGACTAGTTCACCTAGGCGCCAAATCAATTACTCGGAGCGCCTAGACTAAAATCGGGGCACCAACTACCGCCTAGCGCTTAGGCGGTAGTTAGGCGGAAGCGATTAGGCGGGGACTAGTCGGGTGCCGGAAGCGATTTTTAGAACCATGTTTGTACCTAACCTCTTAAAGCCACATTTATGTGCCGGTTTGGTTATTTTCTTTATATAAATATAATACGAAGTAATAATAATTAAATATATGGCAAATTCTATGTTACCCTCAAGCTACCCACTAAATATAAATAAATGATGAGATAATGACTTGGATCAATCAGGGCCGGTTCTGGGGGGAGGGCAAGAGGGGCGACCGCCCTAGGCCCGGCAAAAAATAGAAGAAAAAATAGGCCCAATTTTTTTATTTATGTATAGTGTTAGTAGGCTTCTTTTTTCAATTCTTAAGGTCAGTTAATTAGACCTAATGTTTAATTTTATTGGCAATTTGAAATTTTAAAATGTAAATAAAAAATTTTAAACAGAGCCAAGTTTAAAAAAAGAATATGTACATTAATATTAAGTAGGATCACTTGTAGTTTTTAAAAGCAATACAATTGTTGCTCCATCAAAAAAAGAATATATACATTAATTTTAAGTAAGATCTGTTGTAGTCTTTACATCTCTTTAGCCTTTAAGGCTTTTTATTCATTTAATTATAACATAACAAATTTATATAATTATTTTAGAGCCCATCTCTCCCAAATCTCATCCCAATTATTTATTTGTTTCCAAATTTCTATAAACTATATCTGAGTTCTTAATAGTAGTTTAGAGGACGTCAAAGTGGCATTCTTCTTGCGAGAGTGTTCTTGGCGGCCATACATTTTGTCTCTTTGAAACCCTTCATTCTTTTGAGACTTTAAACTTTAGACTCTCATCAACGGTCAATAAATCATTCTTAACTTTTTTTTTGGATGAAAATCATTCTCAACTTATGAATTCAATATGTAGTGACATTTTTTTCCTATTTCCTTGAAAAAAAAAGTTTAGTGTTAATTTGTTATATGTGGCAATTTTATTGTTTGTCATGTATTAATAGAAAGAAGGTCGCCTATGAAGCTATTATTGATTATTTGCTTCATATTGTTCTACGAGAAATGTTTTTTACTGATGTTTTTTCTTTTTATCCGATACTTGTGTTGTTACTTTTGCCCAAATATGTAAATTAAATAATAATAATAATAAAGTGATTTTTTACTTTATTTTATGAACTTCATTTGACATTTTTATTATAATTCTTATTTCAAATAAGTATACGGTCATAGGCCCAGAATAGCGTACCGCCCATAGGCCCAGAAATGGTCAGGACCGGCCCTGGGATCAATCAACTGTCTTGTAAGTATGATACCCTCATTTATTTGTGAGGTGCCTTATCACTCACCTAAATATATACTCTATTCAACTTCTTCGGCCTGTAATAATTCTCTTCACTGTGAAGTAGTATCACGCTACTGAGCTGAACGAATAATACTGTATGGTTCATTTCCATTTTCCTTAACATTGATCCCAAAAAAGGTGGAATCTCCCACCCCAGGAGCCCCACACCTCGACCCGACGGGAGATGGCGTAAGTCACGGTGACTCAGTCAGCAAAGTGGCAGTAGGCCTACACCCGTGCGCGCCAGAGGTCCAGCCTTATTTCAGGGTCTGTAACCTCCACCCAGTCACTGTGGGGATTCAAACCTTGATACATTGATCCAAATTTCCCACCACTTGACCAACTGAGCTACCCGTTTCCATTTTCCTTGACAAAAACTAAAAGAAGGCATTTTACCGGGTTTGATTATTCTAATTCAACATGAAAATTGTATGATTCCAATTCATGTATTGCAGATATCAACTTACTAACCTAAAAAGGGATTAAAATGAACCAACTTTTCAACCAAAAATTTACCTGTGTAATGCAACCATCGAGGCCCATCCCTTCAAATTAAGATCTGGTGAAATGCCAACGCCGCCACGAGCGGCCGTTTGGTGCACTGGTTCTGAGACATTCCCATCGTCGCCCCGATGATCACAGAGTGAAAGATTATCCCAATTTCCAGAACTTGGGACACCAATTGCTGTTCGAGCCTCACTGTTTCGTCTTCCTCAACAGCCGCCGCCGCCATCCCCAGCTCCACCTCTTTCTCTTCCACCCCCAATTTCTTCTCCACCACTCCAAATTTTTCGATCGCTCCAATAGGCGTGTAATCCTTCGTGACTTCAAGGTTCTGATTCCCGTGGCCGTGACTCTTGACGTGAGAAGTCACTGTCAAGTCAACCAACAAAGCCGTCAGAACGCCAATTAAAGTTATGAGGCTGGAGAAGGGGAAGTCCTTCCACAGATGCCTGGACACCACCTGGCAGTCGGAGAGCGCATCATAGGCGTTAGGAAGCACGGGCATGAGCGATGTGGAGAGAATCACGCCGGCAGATTACTTGAAAATAGTTAAAATCAACTGACCAAAAATAGAGGATACCAAAGGAACACCCAATCCTGAAATTAGTCACAATAACTTAAATCATTTTCATTCATAATTTTGTTCGAGTAATACTTTAAAATGAGTCTACTTTATTACTCCATAGTATGGAATGGATGTGTAAAAATGTCAACATTGAAATGGTTTGGAGAATCCCTTAATACCCTTAAATAAAGTTTAAGAACGCACACTCGAAACCGAAGGCTTGAACCTCTGGATTTCATGACTACCGCCACATTCAAAGCATAACCGGCTGCCGTTTTCCGTGTTAACGATTCCGTTTACTCCCACGCACTCTCATATCTCCTTCCCGGCCCTCTGTTTCGCCGATCGCCGGAGGGAGACATGGCTTTGTGCGTCACCGACACGGCCCATGCCCTGTCTTGCCGGGACAGCAAAGCCGCAGCTCACCTCAAGCTTATTTCCGTTTTCGTAATCTTCTTCACGAGCGTTATCGGGATATCCTTACCCGTCGTACTCGCCCGATTGTTTCACGGAAAACCTGTTTACGACAAGGCGATTCTGATCATCAAGTGCTTCGCCGCCGGCGTGATTCTCTCCACATCGCTCGTGCACGTGCTTCCTGACGCCTATGACGCGCTCTCCGACTGCCAGGTGGCGTCCAGGCATCCGTGGAAGGACTTCCCCTTCTCCGGCCTCATAACTTTAATCGGCGTTCTGACGGCACTGTTGGTTGACTTGACGGCGACTTCTCACGTAGAGAGTCACGGCCACGGGAATCGAAACCTTAAAGTGACGAAGGATTACACTCCTATAGGAGCGAGCGAAGAATTGGGAGTAGTGGAGAAGAAATTGGGGGTGGAGGAGAAAGAGGTGGAACTGGGGATAGCAGCGGCGGCTGTTGAGGAAGACGAATCAGTGAGGCTCAAGCAAAAATTGGTGTCCCAAGTTCTGGAAATTGGGATAATATTTCACTCTGTGATCATCGGGGCGACGATGGGAATGTCTCAGAACCAGTGCACCATACGGCCGCTCGTGGCGGCGTTGGCATTTCACCAGATCTTTGAAGGGATGGGTCTCGGTGGTTGCATTGCACAGGTAAATTTTTGGTTGAAAAGTTGGTTCATTTTATTCGTTTTTAGGTTAGTAAGTTGATATCTGCAATATATGAATGGAATCATACAATTTCCATGTTGAATTAGAATAATCAAACCTGGTAAGATGCCTTTTTTTAGTTTGTGCTAAAGGAAAATACAAATGAACCATACAGTATTATTCGTTCATCTCAGTAGCCTGATACATCACAGTGAAGAGAATTATTACAGGGTGAAGATGAATAGAGTATATTTAGGTGAGTGCAACTATACCTCACAAATAAACAATGGTATCACAATACATTTGATTGATCCAAGTCATTATCTCATCACTTATTAATATTTAAATTGCTCAATTGCAATATTCTAATAGGCCCACGTAGTCAGTATCTTGAGGGTAATGTGGAATTCGCCACATATTTAATTATTATTACTTGGTATTATATTTATATAAAGTAAGTGAATTGGCACATAGATTTGGCTTTGAGAGGTTAACAATTTCTTAAAATTTAAACTACTGAGCCATTCAGTTAGGTACAAGAAATTTATCAGTTAAAATTTCGGTTTAAGTACAGATATGAGTAAATTTCTCTCTAATGAGTTCTTCACTGACTAACATCATTTTTTTCCCTTGTTAATCTTAGTCATTTTTAACTTGTAGTTGTATTTTATTGAGGCAAGAAATGTTAATTAAGTAGATTTCCTATCTCTTCTCTACAATTGCTTGGTATTTCCTTTGTATTGCTTTTGAGGGAATTAGATAGAGGTTTGTTCGAGCTCAGAAAAAAGTGTGGTCCTTATCTTTTTTTTTTTGTGGTCCTTATCTTATCTATAACCTCAATGGTAACTTTATGCGACACATGCTATTTGCAGTATTCTTCTATGGTTCGTGAAAACAGCTACAACCTATTTTTTTTTTGAAAAAAACAGAATTTTCTAAATACTTGAAGTCCACAAACAAGAAAACTTAATTCATCTGATGAACCTGCTAAACTCACCGTAAACCCCCATCCGATCAGATTTATCTAGGAACTTAAAGTCTTCAAACCCAGGTTACACATTTCTGTCCGGAACCAGAAACACAAGTCATCTGTTGTAACCCCTCAACCCACCCGGAAACAAGAAAAAAGTTGAATTTAAGATGGTTTGTCTCAAGATGGGGAAATTTGAGAAATAGTTGTTCGCCCTCCACCCTAAAGTCGGCGTGCAGCTACCACTCGACTTTAAAAACCCATAGCTTGCCATTTGATCAAATTGCCCCCTGCTCCCCCTTCCCCTTCACCTAATCATCGTCCATTTGTCACCACCGCCATTAAAGGCGTGAAAGGTTCTTTTAAGGGGTGAGAAGGATGCAAGTTGGCTATGTTACCACTGGCCAACTATAAAGTGTCGTCTCCCCATGACATGCTAAAGTGATTTATGTGGCTTATTAATTCATTTTGGAAAGGTACATGCAAATTAATATGGGAAGCATGCTAATGTGTGGGATTATTGCTATGAACTTTCGATTTTCCTTTTTATGTTCCCATTTCCATTGAATATTTTTTAGTTTTTAGTTTTTACTGGTCAGTCCATATATAGATCAGCTGCAGAGTAATACCAAATGTCTAGTTTTAATGCATAATGCAAGTGTGGAACTATGGAAGATGAAAAAACAAGATGCAAAAACATAAGAAAAGGACAAGCACATTGGGGCATGCACTTCATCCATATCAAATGATCAATGTATCCTTACCTGAATGGATAAGATACCTTATATTTTAAGAATATAGTGTTAATTTTACCATGAAAATTTACACCATGGCTGGGAAATAATGTCCCTGTAGCATTACTAACTTCTTTCCAAAAGAACTACAAAAGGACATGCTTTTATAGTCTTGTTATTAAAAAAATATCAGAAATAAATTTCTTATCTTTTAGGGAAGGGGGTAACATTTAAAATCAAATTTTCAATGGAGGAGTCTTGAGTTGTTAGCTACTCATGCTGAATGATAAGAACCAAAACTGAATCTCCATTTGTATACTTCTTTAATTTTCATGGATGATATTTGTAAGTGGATGCCTGGAAGGATTACTTACTCTACATAAATGGATGCTCATGTGATAAAAATCATGTACAGAGTGGGTGTACTAAATAACATTAAGAATGAACACTCTCCACAAGAAGGGTATGATTTTATTCATGCATGCAAGGGGGGAAGGTGTTATAATATTTCAGTGTCTTTAATCTCTATAAGTAACCACCATGTGTGCATTTCCTTGGCAATTATGACAGGCGGGATTTAGTATAGGAACAACAGCTTACATGAGCTTCATGTTCTCAGTAACAACCCCAATGGGAATAGTTTTGGGTATGATTGTCTTCTCGGTTACTGGGTACGATGACAGCAGCTCAAATGCCCTGATTCTTGAAGGTTTGCTTGGTTCCTTGTCCTCTGGTATACTTATATACATGGCGCTTGTTGATCTCATAGCTCTCGACTTCTTTCATAACAAGTTGATGAGTTCTGAACCATTTTTGAAGAAGGCATCTTTTGGTGCCCTTGTTCTTGGCTCTACATCCATGTCAATTCTGGCCCTCTGGGCTTGAATCTCTAGGTGTCTAAAATATGTATTTACATATGCCCGATTAACCCTTTGGGTATTAGAATTAGGTATGTATCAATCTTGAGCATATGTAAATTTTCTTTGGATACTATGATAATCCATTCATCCCGCATATATATGGAAATTAATTTTAGTGTTTCGCTCGAAGTGATTTTGTACAAGCTCTGCATTTTTTATTAAGTAATGTCATCTCAAAATCATAGTCATTTATTTAATGTCTAATAATACCATAAGATGGGAGTATTTTCATCTTTTTAATGTTTGATACTTGCATAATACTATGTATAAATTTTAGGATCAGTACTTTCCTTCCATTTAAGAAGAAACATAGGACTCCCTCCAATTAGAGAAACCCCCATTGGTATTTTAATAAAGTATTCTCCTGTGGAGAATATCTGAATGATATAGCTGATAAAACAAATAGCATGTTCACCAAACGTACTCAGGCTTTTTAGCTTGGTATTTTCATATCTGGCAACTGGTGTTACCGTGTTAGGGAGAATATGAAATTTCACAATTTTTCCTTCCCTAAATATGAAATTATTGTATAGCAAACATAGTGGGTACAATTAAGGACCAAAGGATCATCACCTCCCATATGTCCATAATATTTGTACAGTCGTCGATCATTTGAGAAGACTAGGGATGGACTCAACCGGGCCGGCCCGGCCCGGAACCGGCCCGGCCCGCCACTGTGCAGGCCCGGCCCGGAACCGGGACTGGTGAATCGGTTCGGGCTTTGACCCGGCCCGGGGGGGTTTGGCGGTTCGGGTCCGGTTCATTTGTTTGGTGGCCCGGCCCGGCCGGTTCGGGCCCGGGTCGGGCCTAACGGTTACTTTTTAAAAAAAAAAAAAAATTTTTGTTTTTCAGCCAAACAGGCCTTATGGCCGTTGGCTTTCAACCCAAACGGCTCTATAGCCGTTGGGAGCCTTCCAGGGGGTCCCGGGTTGGGGGGTGGGGGGGTGGGGGGGGTGGGGGGGTGGGGGTGGGGTACTAAATATCTATAAATACTCCATTTTTTCTATACACTTTACTACACATCTTCTCCAAATATCTCTACTCTCTAAATCTCTAATCTCTATTCTCTATTAATCTTTCCCATCTTCATCTTCTCAATTTCTCAAATTTATTACTACATATATTATATTTATATAATTTATTATCTACTTATATTAATATCTAATTATTATATTATTGTTACTTATATAAGTATATTTATTTACTTATATTCACATATTACATATACTTAATATATACTTATATTAGTTATACTTATACATATATTAAAGTATAATATATAAGTGTATTACTCAACTTATAGTAATATACTTATATATTAAAGTATAATATATAAGTGTGTTAGTCATCTTGTAGTAATATTAACATAATATTATCTACTTATTATCTACTTATAAATATATATTTACTACATATATAAGTGTGTTAGTCATCTTGTTAGTCATCTTATATTATATATACTATCAACATAATATTATCTACTTATTAATTTTGTTTACACACTAATACATTCTTCATTAATATAAAAGTTGTTAATTGTTTCACTTATCATTTTAGACTTTTAGTATTAGTTCATTGCTATAAAAGTGGTTAATTGGTAGTTGTTAGTTTATTGGAAATAGTTACATTAAAAATTGTTAGACAAGAATTCGAAATTAATTGTTTACTTGTTAAACTAGTTAATTGTTACATTTCTTAATCTCCTCTAATACTAGTTAATTGTTACATTTATTATTCTCCTATCAAACTAGTTAATTGTTAATTATATTATAGTTGTTCGAAAATTTATCTACTTAATATATTAAGTGTATTCCTCATCTTATAGTCATATATTTATATTATATATACTATAAACATAATATTATATATTACTAGTTAATCTACTTATTATCTACTTTTAAATATATATATTTACTATATCTACTTATACACTTAATATAAAAGTAGTTAAATTTCTCCTATCAAAATAGTTAATTCATTGTTACATTTATTATTCTCCTCTAAATTTCATTGCATTGTTACATTTAATGTCTAGTTAAAATTTCTCCTATTGAACTAGTTAATTGTTATTTATATTGAAGTTGTTCAAATTTTATAATAAAAGTTAATTTAATTGGTACATTTTAATTGTTACATTCTAGTCAATTTAATTGTTCGAATTTAATTGTTACATTGTAGTTCGATTTGTTAGATTTGTATTTGAAATTCACTAGTTTAATTGTACTTCGAATTTAATATTTGTTATATTTTTAAGATGGAACGTGGTAGAGCTTCAGTAGATATGGGTAACCTCCGCCGCAACCGAACAAAGGAGATTGCGAGGAATCATCCAAGCTTGCAGAAAGGTAAGGGACGGGCCGGGGCTTCATCTCAAACCCGAGATGATTTTGATGCGGATTATAACCAAAGATATGGGTCTGCGATGTCCGATGAGCAAGTAGAACAACTATTACAACAAAATCAAGGGGCCTTCTTCCATCAACAAAACATCCCGACCATTGACGAAGAAGAGCTCGAGGATGATGATGCGGAGGAGAGGGATCCGCAAACGGTCGAGCACGAGGTTCATGGCACACCGTACGATGATGAAGAGCAAGCGGAAGTGGCTACTTCTTCCCAAGGCGGTGAGAAAGCTGAATCAGTCTTTAAGGCAAATTTTACAAAATTTAAAGACCCCCAAACCGAGATATGGTACGCCACTTGCAAGCATTGCCCAAAGAAGTATAACTTGGGAACTTCTGGAGGGTACGGGAGCGCCACAAGGCATCTTAAGGCCAAGCACCCGGCGGAATATGCGAAATCAGACAAAGGCAAGGGAAAGCAAACACAAATTTCAAGATTTGGAAGTGGCCAACCCTTCGGTAATTTCTCCTATGATGATCAAAGACATTTGACTGGTATGTCACATTTGATTGTTGAAGAAAATTTGCCTTTTATTTTTTCCGAAAGTCTTGCTTTAAAAGAATATGCTCAAGGTACTTTAAATCCTCAATTTCGAAACTATAGTCGCAAAACAATTAAAAAAGAAGTTATAAGGCAATATGTTTTGGAAAAGGAAAAATTACAAATATTTTTCGCAAACTTTGATGGCCGTGTTAGCATATGTAGTGATATATGGGAGGATACTCATCATCATTTATATTATTTGGGTTTGACTGCACATTATATTGATGATGATTGGTGTATGCATAAACGTGTTCTTGCTTTTCGTGAATTTAATGATCGACACACCGGCGATAATATTTATATTCTCATTGAGCGTATTTTAGTTGAGTATAATTTGATTGATAAGGTGTTTGCTATTGGTTTTGATAATGCTACTAATAATACTGCGGCTATTCCTAGATTGCGTGAATTGTGTGGTTCATCTTCTTTGATGGGTAGGTTTTTTCATCAGCGTTGTGCATGTCATATTTTAAATTTATGTGTAAAGGACGGTCTAGCGGCGTTGGGAGATGCTTTGGAGGTGGTCAAGGGGGGGATTAAACTGATTTGGGCTAGTAATCCACTTAAGATGCAATGGAGAAATTATTTGAAAGAAAGACGTGTCAAATATTGTGCTTTTCCTAAAGATTTGTCTATTCGTTGGAATAGTACTTATAATTTAATTAAAGTGCTTATTAGATATAAAAACCATTTTCCCGCTTTTTTAAGAGAATATGCTAACTATATTATAAACCCGGCCGATATCGACACTTGTGAAAAAATTGTGAATGTTTTGGTGTTTTTTAATAATGCCACTGAAACTTTTAGTCATGTTTATAAACCTACCGCAAACCAATTTTTTGTTGAAGCTGTTAATCTCGCCGGCGCTTTTTCTGAATTCTCTGACGCCGCTTACGTTAGTTATTTTTGTGACTTCATGAAACAAAAGTTTTTAAAATATTATTCCTATATTCCGCATATATATGGTATTGCATTTGTTCTTGATCCTCGTTTTAGACTTTATTCTTTGGAGAAATGTTTAGATTACTATTATGCTTCTTTTTTTGGTCCATTGCCTATGTACGACGACAAGGCCATAGACCCTAAACAACAATTCCAAGAGGTTAGTAATTTATTATATCAATTATTTAATGAGTTTCATGCACAATATGGTAACGCACCCCCTCCCCCGCCACGAACATCTTCTTCATCTAAAGGAAAATCAATTTTCAAATCTGCATTTGGCAATCTTATGAAAAAAAGTAAATCAACTCCGGTTAATGAACAAAGCTCGATCAACGAGCTTTCTTTGTATCTAACATTTCCTGTTGATTATGAAGAAGGGGATGACTTTGACGTTCTTCAGTGGTGGAAGGAAAAAGAGAGAACGTTCCCGATCTTATCAAAGATGGCTAAGCAAGTGCTAGCAATGCCGGTATCAACAGTTGCTGTGGAACAAGAGTTTAGTGCGGCCGGCAACGTCCTAACGGATTATAGAACGAGATTAAGCGCAAACTCTCTTGAGACGCTTGTTTGCTTCCACGATTGGTTGAAGGCCAAACGTAGAACTCAAGAAATAAGCATTGAACCCACTCGCCACTTTATGGAAGAAACAACTGAAGATGGAGGAAATTCTAATTGATTCATACTTCATTACTTATTATAAAGTGTATTTCATGTTTTTATTTTTACTCAATTTTCAATTGTACTACAAATATCAAATAAATATGTTTTACCCTTTTTTATGTCCAAGTAATATTAATTTAATTTTGGTATCTAAAAAAAAAAAAAAAAAATTTAAAGCCCGGGCCCGGCCCGGCCCGGCCCGGACCCGACCGGGTCGACCCGGCACGAACCGGACCCGGTATCACCCCGGGCCGGTTCCGGGCCCAACAATCCCCAAAAAAAGCCCGCCCGGGCCCGGCCCGGAACCGGAACCGGCCCGGCCCGGGTCCATCCCTAGAGAAGACCATTTCTTCTATGATCAAAGTCCTCATCCCAAACTTTATACCGATTAAATAGTCTGAACATAAAATCCGTTTGGCATAGAAGAATTTGTCTAAATAGCTTAACTGATTGAATTTGTTCAAATTATGCTTGAGTTAGCCTATTGGTATGAATGGTATAAGCACTAAATGTATTTTAAATATAAAAATGTGATGGATTTAATGTCATTCATCTCTATTTCACCAGTTTTGGTTAAAATTAGATATGGGTTATCTTTGTTATTTTTAGTTGATTCAACAAAAATATTGCAGCCAAATAATCTTTCGTCTAAAAACTTTTTGCTGACATGTCTAGTGATTCAAAATACCAAATGATGTTTTCATCTGAAAACTTGTGGCTTGTCTCACAACTCAAGTCACAAGCTAGCTAGTCACAAGTTCGGACTTTATTAAGGCTTCCAAAAAAAATCTTTATAGTTAGGTCTCCAAAATTGTCTCATTGTTTAAATGTTTATCAGTTAACTCATTTCATTCTCTTCATTAATTGTCCCACTTTTTAAAAATAGTAGAACATACAAGTTTCACGTTGTTATTCACTTTTTAAATGTATTAGAATTAGATTTGTATCTATTTTTAGCATAGGTAAAATGTTCAGTTGAGTTAATATTTTATAGAAGTGAAAGAGTGAATTGAGCAAATAGTGGTAGTCCAGCGACCTTAAACAACTTCCTCTAAGGTCTGCCTGTAATGTATCACTTTTAAACAACAACAACAAAATCTCTAATTCTAAAGTTACCAATGCGTGCCAATCCCGTAATTGTTTTATAGTGTTTACTCAATTTGTTCATGCTCGAACCGAGTATGTAGTACAATGAAGTTAAATTCTACTTGACCGGGTCAACGGGTTTGACTGTGTAAGACTCAACCTCTAATCCCACATAAAAACTGGCTCAGTCAAAGCACTGCAAGATACATTGACTTGCAATAAGAGCAGGAGATAAGAGTATAAGACTAAAGAAAATAATTTGTATCGTGTACATGTCTTTAATTTATACGTAGTAAAAGATATGATGATGTTTTAAGTGAAATCAGTTCAAATAAAAAAGATGCTTTTTCAATGTGGATGAATTAATAATATGCATTGCACCCTATAGATGACCTACAAAGAGGGCACGTTGACCGAGCAATCAACCAACGACCAATACAATGAGAATGGAAAACATGCATACATTCCGGCATCACTTTAATGATCTCCTGATCCTCAAAAGCTCCCAAACATATACTACACTCATCGGTTCCTCCGAGACCCATTCTCTTATCATCGTCCAAACCCTCAGCCGCCGTCGATAACCCGTGAGTAAAGACCGGCAGGTTCTCGATGACCTCGACATCAACGCCAGACCACGCCGGAGACGGCGGAGCCTCCACCGCAACCGTAACTCTGTCGCCACTCGAGTGATCATCATGTCTTATAATAACGTTAAGTCGCCTTCTTGTCGTGGTGAGCTCTGGGACGTCATCGTCATCGGCAGATAAAACATGCTTTCGAATGAAGCGGATGAAGAGGAAAACGAGGAGGAAAAATGAGAGTAGGAAGAAAAAGAATGTGAGAAAAAACAGCTTAACTCCACGGTCAGTGATGTACCAATGGAAGGGTTCAACTTCCTCCACCTCCATGCCCGCCATTTTCTCTAGTCAAAGTTATAGTAGTAGTTTGAATTGATGATAAAGCCGAATATTGTATAGGCATGAGCTCTTATATACTTCGTATGTATATATAAATATATATCTATTCATGTGTATAAGTAAACTAAAGTTACCTATATATAAATAGTCATGTATATATGACTAATTAAGCTAGATAAGATACTTTAGAATATCACACATACTACGTATGGAACATGAATACTAAAACACTGCTCTTAGCCTCTTATCATCTAATGAACATGTCCGGTATATGTAAGTTTTTCATAGTAGTTCATACTATACCGTCTATACCGTCATAGTAGTAGTTTTTTTAAAGTTATAAGGTACGTTCTTACGGAGTACTACATATTAAAGTTGGAATCGTTCGGGCCCGAAATGTTACGATTGTGTGTGTATTTTATTGCTGGATTCAAAAAAGAAAAAGGAGTTTCAGTAACACCATGCATACATGGGGAAGACCATAAAATAGAAAAAAAGAAATCGATAGTCATATTTAGTAGGGAGGGCGCCTAAGGATTTTGAGTTATAGCTTTTTCCTTAAGTATTACCTAAATAACATTTATACAAAAAATTTGATTATATTTACTACCGAATAAAACTGAAAGATCAGATAGTCATGGGTGATGCACGATGTTTTTACTTGGATTGTAATTTTCAGGCCTGGTCTGTTTAAGTCTGGTCTGATCTGGTTTGGTAAACGTCTGATCTCTGTGTATTTTGTAACTACAAAAGTTAAGCTGGTCTGGTCTGATTTATTTAAGTCTGGAACTGAAAACGTCCAATTAAATACATCCATTGTCACATTTTGTGGATTTAATTGATGAACCAATGTAGTAATACGTAGAAGAACGCACATAAGATGACTGGCCGGGCAGTATGAATATAAGAACTAACTTGAATTACGCACGTGCACGTAACTAGCTAAGAGTAATTTGGGTATGTTCGTTTGGTTTGTTGCCATATATGAATAGTATAATGCCAAGATCCAACTAATTAATCACATCCCACTTAGGCCAGGCTTGGTCTTCAACATCTTGTGTGATTTTTTGCGCCGAGAAGGATTTCATCATTAGCACATTAAAGATTTGTTGAAATGTTTAATTGGAAAAAGCTAAGATTATATATACTTTACAAATTGAAACTCCAAGAATATGACATATTGTAATGGTAATTTGCTTTAGGAGCGTAAAGTTGGAAAAGTACGTGCAATAATGAACGATTAATTGAAGTCTTGATGAAGGGTAAAAGGACAACAAATTATTGTGAACAAATTAAAAATTGTGCAAAATCACAGCATATTTAGGAACTAAGGGAGTAAAGGTGTTAGGTCGGTGGACATTTGAATGGAAGTTCAATTCATGAAGCACACGGCATAAAAGAAGACCACATATTCTACATTTCCATGCATTTCAATAACGTAACCATGCTGGCCAGAAGTCCAGAAGGACTAGATCGAACAATATATAGACATTCTTTTGATCTCCTAATTAAGTTTATCCTTTTTTGCTTGTCACGGAAGTCAATTTCAACTAATTTCGTAGATTCTTATGAAATATCACATGGAATTATCATATGCATACCATTATGTAATGGTGTGATCGACAAGATCTGTAGCAATAATTTTAACCTGTGTGTTGAGGTTAAATCTTGAAGGTCCAAAAGCGCAACATAATTCTTTGGCTTTCGCAAGAGTTTCTTATTAGTTATGAGTTGATTTAGTGAATGCTTTAGGCTATAGAGAACTAAGGACGAAGCAAGTAATTAGAGGCAAACTGGATCAAGTTTTATTGATGTCTTCAGAACGATTACAACACTTATGTCGAACAAGCGTACTAAGCCCCTAGATCAAGCTGGATGCTACAGAAGAAACTAGAAATAAATTTATTGCTAAGAGTACAAATTAAGTTGTCAACCTTTTACAATGAAGTACATGATGCTATTTATACCAGGAAATAGTAGGTGGAGGTATTGTGCTCAATCCTGAGTGGATGAACCCCCAACTGTAAAACTTTCCATATATATGGTACATTAAATGCGTTTCCGACCAATTATCAAGTTTCCCGCCAATTGTCTGGGAGAGCCTGTCTTGGATAATTGCTGGATCGAGTAGAGGAAGTGTAGGGCGTGTTTCGGAAAATAAAGAAAAATCAATTAATAAAATTAATTAAAATGACTATAAGAAAAACAGAAAAAGATGGAGCAGAATTTAGCTAGAGCTCGTGCTACGCACGATGTCCTTAAAACGTATTCGTTGCCTCCCACGGTGCAAGGATCGGAGTGTTGCAACGACCGTTTCCCAGGATACAATGGCGAATGAACGATCGTTTGAGTACACAAACGAAAGTTCCGGCGAACGAGAACAAAGTATGAACACTCAGGAATGTTTCGGAATACTGGAGGTGTGTTTAGATCAAAAAGTATGTGTAGACTGTGTATGAACGTGTGTTGTTGCGAAACACCTGCCAGCTATATATAGGGACATATTTGTTGAGTGTTAAGTGACCTTTAATGGACCTAAACGTTGGACATAATTGACCAGCATGTTAGGCATTAATATGTCGTAAAACTGTCCATTTAAAGACGCATTAAAAGACAAGAACGTTAGGCATTTAAGGCTGTCCATGTAATGACCAGAACACCATGACGTCTTCTGGTTCTGAGGTCTTCTGGCCGAGCAGTTCTGCTGCGAAAAGAAGAGACGTTCTGCCCGTGCACTTCTTGGAAAAAATGAAATGTAAAGGAAAGAAACAAAGATTAAATTGTATCTTTGAAAGATAAATTTTTGGACGACATCCGTGTGCGCAGGTCGCTCGCGATCACAAGTCACAGTTTTTCTTCTCCATTTTCGGGATTTGATTCACACCCCCGGTGTAACTGGATTTGTCATTTGTTTATTTGTTCACGGATCCGAAAGTCGATCTGTAGATGTCACTATGCAACTATCGTTAAGAAAATAGAATTATACTTGTATGTTGAAGGTCGGAATTGAAATTTATGATGCTAAGTAGTGAGGCTTTCAGTTAATTTCAAGCACCATTCTTTACATCTGCAAGCTTTTATGTGTGAAGTGCAATTTCAGGTGTGAAATATGTTAATTTCAGGTTTAATTTTTTTTTGTATGACCAAATTTCAGGTTTAGTGCAAAAAAAAGTAGGAAAAAATTATGGTGCATACACGTTGAGGGATGTATCAGTGCATTCCATACTTGTCAACATCTCATTGGTAATTTAATCCACCTCACTTTTTAATTTCAAATATATTTATTGCACAGAAGTCCTTCCCCAATTCACAGCCAATTTTCTGGTTTACCTTTTACGTAAGAACGTAGGCTGCGAAAGCCAAGCCAAGAGGCAAAAGCTCGAGTCCTTCTGGTGGCTACGAAAACGAAGAATGTGGGCAAGAAAAATGAAAGGCCCACGTCATCATCTAGAATGTCTATATCTTCATCTACGATGTCACAATCTTCTAGAAAATTCACCTTTAACGGTCATCTGCCATGGCTATGAATTTGTGGTATTGTTGCTCCTTTAGGAAACCTGATATGATAACATAGAAGTGTGTTATATGAAGGTTGACCCCTGCGGTCATTAGCAAAATTCCTTCGCCCAGAATTACGCTCATGCATATAAGTGGTATTCACCTGAGTGAGATTGGCCGTAGGAACAAGGGACTGAGTGGACGCCGATTGTTCATTGTGACGGGCCTCATGCTCCAGGAGTATATCTTGGAGTTCACTATAATCGGGTCCTAACCCATTAAGAATGTTGATTACCAGATCTTCCTCAGGGAGTGGATTTTGAGCCAGCGCTAATGATTCAGAGAGAGCATACATATCAGCAAGATATTCTGTGATGGAGCGGCTTCCCTTCGTGGTGCGGGCCATGGCCGTCTTAAGGGATATGATCCGGCCACGAGAGGTGCTAGCATAAGTGACAACCAGTTTATCCCAGGCTTGCCGTGCCGTGGCGGCAGAGGAGATGATAGGCTGGACGGTGTCGGAGCAACTACCGAGAAGAGCACTCAGGATTGTCTTATCTTGACGATGCCATATGGTATAGCACGGATTTGGTGTAGTCTTCAGATCATCGAGGAACTGATCAGGGGTTTTGACGGTTCCATCGACATAGCCATCAAGTCCAAGCCCTATGAGAGCAGAATGAACTTGGCATCTCCAAACAGAGAAATTGGAGGAGGTAAGTTTGATGGGAAAATTGGCCGTAGCAGTGAGTTGAATAACATTGGTGTTGGCCGTGATTGTCATGTTGGTGAATGACCGGAAAAAAATGGAGTGTATAGAATCTCTTTAGAGAAAGGCTCTTGATACCATAAAGAACTATATGGAATGAAGGTTTTTGTATATTCGATGCATTGCTGATACATCATGTTGCCATTTAAATACAATTACAGAAGGTTCTAGGAACTAACCGTCTACACTAATTAAGGAGATAGTTTAGGAATAACCCACTATACACGCGGCTAAGCTAGTATAAGTTGATAAGTACAACAAGAGATAATTACAAATAATAAATAATACTTAATATGTTACTCTATAGTTCGGTGGTTCTTAGCTTTTATTGTAAATTATGCATTAATAATGTCCCCTAGTGCGAGTGGCTTAAGCTTTGATGCTCTAGTGTGGAAACGAGTCCATTCATGGACTTTTCTATTTGACTCGCAGATCTGCTACTTCGTGGTAGTGTAAATCCACGTAGGAACAATTGTATACCGGGGGGCACAAGGTCTCAAGTCTGTATCTTCATTTTAAGTTTCATTTTGTAATAAGAGGTATACACAAGTGTGGGGAACTGTGAGAGCTATCCATTCTGTTCTTTTCTAAGACACCGACATGGAAGAGGATTTTCAAATCCAGATTCCTATGCGTCCGCAATTCGAGACCTTGGAATAAATGACTGAAATTCTAGACTTGCAACTTCGGCAACAAGTCGGGGAAGAAGAAATTGTGCTTTTGGTTATGGGCACATTCTTAGTCATACTTGGCTAGTTTAGAAAGCAACTTAAATGTCTCTGATTTTTGAGGTGGGGTTTTGAAAGCATTTGATATGATTCTTTTGTAAAATTTTCTTGAACTAAATCTGGAACCAAAGGAAACACTAGAATAGCAACAAACTTTTGAATCGTGGTAAAATTTTATAGGTGAAATAAAGTATGGCATGGCAGTGCTTCTATTTCTGTACGGATTATGTCTCACATCACTAGCCAAGTAGGTTTTGAATATGCAAGAGGAACTGTTTTATCTTCTAAGTTTCCAACAGAAGAGGATGGGCTATCAATGTGGTTGGAGGATTTCATTATTGCTCTGCCCAGAACAGGGGTCATTTTGTGCTTGTGCAGACATCACTATTTGCATTAAGTTTGCCTGTCTCTTAAAATATATTGACGTATTGATACCAAAATGTCATATATAAAGATTTCAACAATTTGTTGATTTTACATGTAGATCCATCAGTTTTTTTATTCTACTTCATAACAGTGATGATTATTGATCCGGATGCTCTTCAAGATAATGGTCATGAAACTGTTTTTGCATACGATAGTATGATTATTTTCCTTATTCTTGGAATCTTTTAATTCGTATTGTGTTTTTTGTTAATTGAACTTTTTTGTTGTTAATTGAGCTTTGCTTTAATACTGGCATGAGTGGTCTATATTCTTGACATGTATAATTCTGGCTTTAATTGGTTATTTCTTTTGACCAACATGGCAATCATTCATATCTTCATTATTCATTTCATTTTCATTTACCCCAGTGCCGCAAAGGCTCCCACCTACGGTGGGGTAAGGGGGGGTCGGATGTACACAATCTTACCCCTATACTAAAGCACAGAGAGACTGTTTCCGGATGACCCGTAGTGAAAATCACGTCCAAAATTGCATGGACTGACTGATGCTTCATAACAAAAAAGCGCAGACAGTTAAGTGAGCCATTTTGCTTTATTCCATCATATTCTCAAGCCAAAAAATAATGAATCTTTTGACATTCATATATTTGAACAAATTTGTACTATGGTATTTTTATGTGCTTCTAATGATGGAAAATGTGGTTTGGCCGGATAGATTCACTGGCCATTCTGCCTGAAGGAGGGAGCTAGCAGGCCTCCAAAAGCTGGTGAAGTCTCTGAGTTTGACATGGAAGGAGTTTGGAGAAAAATGGAGAAGCTAGTGACAGACAAGATAGTGAGAGATATTGGGATTTGCAATTTCATCGTCAAGAACCTCCATAAGCGGCTAAGTATTGCCCAAGATAAAGCCTAGTGTTTGCCAGATGGAGATGCACCCTAGATGGAGGAACGACAAAATGCTGGCCGCTTTCAAGCAGAACAACGTACATGTGACGGTACTAACATACATTTCTTGAAGTATTTGTCCCATATTGATTTAATATAACATAATTTATGAGTTATTCCCCTATCAAGTTCACGTTTAACCAAGCATTCCAGTCCCTGATTACTCCAGGCTCCCCCAGCCCCCTCCCCAGACCCCCTGGAGTAAAAAAAAGTTCACGTTTTCGAGTGGAACGTCATGTCTTATGTAGTTACTATTATCTTGATGTTTCAGAAACTATTATTTTGATTCGGACCCGACATTATGAGTAGAACATAGTATGTCTCGATTATTTATATTTTAAGTAACTTGTAAGCATTAACCTATTCTGCATTTGGGGCACTGTTAGTGTTAGGCATATTCACCTTTCGGCTCATATGAAAGGGATCTTGTACATGACCCTGTGGTGGACAAGGTGGAAAAGAAACTGAGCAAGAGCCCTAGCCAAGTTCTTGTCAAGTGGGCTATTCAAAGAGGAACAAGTACCATTCCCAATTCAAATCATGTTGATAGGATCAAAGAGAACATAAGTGTTTTCGAATGGGAATTACCAAAGGAAGATTTTGAAGCTCTTTCTAGCATCACTAACCAGGTATCTTGGCTCTCATTTTCAAATTGGATGTTTATTTGCTCTTTTTATCTCTAAAAGGGGTGACTAAACATACACGTGATGAATGTTATCATGTTTCAGACACGGGTACTGGATGGGGAAGATCTATTTGTGAACAAGACAGATGGTCCTTTTAAGAGTGTTGCAGATTTATGGGATCATGCAGATTAACTTTTGTTACATAATACATCTATGTTTTATATGAATAAAATAGATTCAGGGAGTTCGGCCTCTGTAATAAATGCTTAAAAATAAGAAGGCTTGAAGAAACTTTGAAAAACTCTTTACTAGTTCTGGAAAAAAGTTGTTTGATTCTTGTTTTTATGCTCTTTTCTCTTTTCTATGTGTTTCATGGAATTACTGTCATGTTCATGTTTGGTTTGTCTTTTTTATTTTTGGTGTGCAACTATTGATTTAATGCCACCTTTGATACCTCTGATGAATAAAAAAAGTTTGCTGGAAATATGATCTGATTGACTAAAAGATGAAATAAAATCCAGGCACCAAATGCAAAAGAAAAAAAATCGAGTTGTAGGCGTAGGAGCAAAACTGGAACAATTTCACGATTCTGATCTTCTTTTCTTGAGCACAAAATGCAACATTTTGATCTCCTTGAACAGAAATTATGGAAGATTTACATATTACACATAATACACTAATTGAAATTTTGGCTCGGTATTGGTCGATTCTTAACTCTATGGCGACATTGGCACTCCTCACCACTTCCTCTACCATTGCCGCCTCCAGCAACTTCATATCCCTCTTCATTATTAATCTTATAATTAAGAAGCGTGTCAAGGCCATCATCAGTCTGGGCGGTGATGGGGGAATTATCATTACTACCGTCATGCGGTGGGAAGCTCATGCTAAGCTGATCTACCTCTGACATGGTTTTTGTTAACATTGGCCTAGGGCGTTTAAAGAATAAACAAATGACAGCACAATCGTCAAACTTAGAACATGGGTATTTGTGTTTCCATGCCCGAACTGCCCTCTCGACTAGCATTCATGCTGCCATTAATCTCTTCCCTGCTGAAGCACTGTCTAGATCACCTCGTAGTTGTTTATTACATCCCACACCTATGACACAAAAGTTGCTCTTTCATTTAACATTTGCACATCTGAAATGTGTTAGATGTAATAAACACTAGAAGTAGCATATAAGACTCTGGATTACTGTTGCAATTTAAGTCTTAGAAGTGACTTGTTTTCAAATTATATATACTTACACCATCGGTAGCTAAAACAACGAATTCGTCCCTCTCGGAGATCTTTGTATAGTACATTTCGGGGAGGAGATGAGACCATAGTCTTTCAAACAAAAGTCTCTGAAGGCTCTAGCCATGGCAAGGCCTGGACAGTCTTGATCAGGCATCCACACCCTATACACATTTGGTTCTTCTTCAGTTGCCATTACTCTTCCTTGGCTGTTTTTAATACGTTCAGATTCACCTGATTGAAAAACCATACATGAAAAAACTCACTCTCATTGTATCATTCATTCAACATCTCTCACAATGGATGTCAATAGAATAAGAAACATGAAACCTTACTTGGAAGATTAGGCTTCAAGTCGACTGTCAGTTGTTCCGGAACAAGCTCATCTGTGTCATCTCTGGTGCACAGTGCCATGTGAGAATCCCCAAGATTCCCAAGTATCAGATGTTCACCCTACAATAGTTCATATGAGTGTATTAAAGAGTCATGCACCAGAGTATAAAAGAGATTAAGTTAGGCGTCAGTCACCCCAAAAGGTCTTCACCACATAAGCTTTATCTCAAACTTTAAATTATCATCTTAACCCAAAGTGAGTTGGACAACTCTAATAGTGAATAAATAGGCCAAACCAACCCCAGGAGTTTTATGAGTATACACGGATTTGGATTACCTATGATTTCATATGTCAATTGATTTTAGCCGACCCAAAACTCTCTTGAGACAAGGCTTGGATGTAGTCGTTGTTGTACAAGGATTTGGATTAGAGTAACTAGTCGGTTCATTATTGGTTGTTGTTGTAATTAGCCGATTTGAGTATTATCAAACAGGCTCTCAAATTTCGGCTTCCCATTGTAAAATTTTCAAATCTGTACTCCCAACATTAATTTCTGGCTCAGCCAATGAGTCATTAGGGCTACCAAATTAGGGTTAGGCTGGTTGGTGCCTTTCTGTACATATGTAGTACTCCGTAACAAACAAAACATTTATGGAAAAGAGATGAACTTGTACACATTTATGTACGATGACAATTAAGTAACCTCATCTTGCGCGTTTCTTTGACCAAACTGTAAATTGTTCATGCTCGAATTTTTGCCTGATTGATACTAGATTGTGCTAATACTAAGGGCAATGTCGATTTTATACGTCTCTCTTGGTTACGAAAATTATTAGTTTCGTTGGGAAAAACTTTCATGTAAATTGCTAGACAAAGTTACAATTACAATTGCACTTTTCGAGCAGAAATTTTGGACAAGGTAAATGGTAGGACAAGGCACACCTGGCCTTTTTACCAACTTTTTTCTGCTTTAATTTAACATAACAAACTTTTCATAAAAACGAATTTTAATTTGTATGATTTAGTAAACTAAGGAATTCGGATCGAGCGGTGATGCACTAAACAGTAGACCAAGTCTCCTCGCTTCATCTCATCTCAATTTTCTTCTTTTATTCTAATTGAAAAAAGATTTTCAATTTATTGTTTATTACTACGTATGTTTTTTATCGTAGCGCATGATAGCAGGGTGATTCTTCACATTTTCACTTGAGTGATGTATATTACTCCCTCCGTCTCGCTAAGATTGTCTCATTTTACCTTTTTGGATTATTCCACTAAGAATGTCTCATGCCAAATTTGGTAAAATTTATGTGACTCCAAATCATGCTTACATTATTTTGATTTTATCAATTCAATATCAAACACATAAATAACTTTTTATTGATTTGTGTGTCACTACCTCAAATCTTATTGGTAGTTGAACTCACACACAATAAGAAGTAGACGATTCCAGACTGTTAAAATTGAAAATAAGTATGAATAAATAATATGGAGTGGAGAGTATAATATATGGAGAGTTCTCCTTCGTGTGTTTTTATTGAGCAATGCCTCATGCATATTTATAGTACATGTGTGCATGGCAAATTACATGAGAGAGAATATAAGTTGCATGGCCCATGCAAGTAGACAGGCAAGACAAGCCAACCTATTACATATTTAATAATGATAATAATAATAATAATAAAATATCAAATATTTCAATACAGACCTTATTTATTTCTACATCAATATTGAGAGAACTCACACACATCCTGAACCGCTTTCATGCCAGAAAAATGAGAATGTATAGATTGTTTTCTTTTCGCTCTCTGGTGAAATCGGGACAAATCCTAAACTTGCCACCACTGAAATTGGGAAAAATTCATAGTTCGTTTTTGGTTCATAGTTCCTTTCTCTTGTTTTTTTTAGAAAAAATTGCAATAACAAGATCCTAGAGTAGTCGCAAGTAAAATCTACGCTATTGAGGGATTAGTGATTCAAAGTTTTTCATTTCAATTTATCTACTCTGTAAATAATAATAAAAATGTTTGCTATTGAAAATGTTATTGAGACTCTTTAAATCTTAAATCGAATGCCCTCAAGTATAATTCCTTTGCGTGGAAGTGTCCTCACATAAAATCTCTTTTGTTTAGGTGTTATTTCAAGAGGGTTTTCTATAATATTATTAAAATAAAATGTGTAGATAAAAAATGTGATTAAAGTGATTATGAATACGCTTTTATAGTCACTTTGATATAAAAATTCAATATCATAGCACTAAAAGTAGTTAAGTCACATTTTTATTCAATATCTTCATTTTTGGTTATATGTTAGAAATCATTTCTGATTTCAATCTTGAAACTAATTTGAATTTTATAAATATTTCCATACATGTGTGGATTTTGATCTTTTGCGATTGTATCATCCCCAATATTAAGTCAATTAAAAGAAAAATTATACACATGTGTTAGGCTTACCTGGCCTACCGGTATGTATCAACTCATTTTAGTCTTTTAGGTATAAAATAAAATTAGGTTTTTCCTTACATGTTATGATATTACAGAGTACTATATTAAGAAGGTAATTTCATGACCATAGTGCTTCTAAATATTTGCAGTGATGTTTCCTGTGGGCGTCAATGTCAATTTCTGGTTTGTTTTTACCAAACAATTCTTCCACAGACTCAGAGGCGAGGAATGAGCCCGTTGGGAACATTTGTTTTTATATGTCCAAGTACATGAACTACTTCTCTCAACATTTTTGCTCATAAATGCTAAACCCTCCGGCTACGGCCAATTGCCAGTTGTCGAAAATGCAGTTTTTGTCATTTTTCGTCTCCCATTATTGTGTCATTGACATTTTTGATAATTGACTTCTAACTTTTTCAATTTTAGTCATCGGTTACTTTGTCAGAGACATTTTTAGTCATCGATTTCAAAGTTTTTCACATTTAGTACCTGGGTATTATCAAATTGACACTTCTAGTCCTTCTACGAGGATTTTGACACAATACATGGAAGACTAAAAATGTCATTGTTATAATAGTTGAATGACCAACACAGTCACTTTTATGAAAGTCAGAGGACTAAATATGAAATTTTATAAAGACGGACACCAAAAGTGTCTCTAGCAGACTAGCACAATAGTCGAGCATTAAAAGTGGAAAAAATCAAAATGGAATATCAAAAGTGTCAATGACATCATAATAGTCGGAAGAGTAGAAGTGGAAAAAACTCCAACACGTAACTTTTCATTTCGCGCGCTAAGCTATGTAATAATCAAAACAAATAAGATTGAAGTAACTTTTCTCGCTGAATTGATAAAATGACTATAGAGAGTAATTTTGATCATTTTTTCATAAGATATTTTCTTTATTTTACTTATAAAATATATCTTAAATATAATTATTTCACAAATCAGTAGAATTAATCAATCTAACTACTTCAGAACTTTATAAATTTCTGCAAAATCAACTGATTCCCAATTTAGTGCTATCAAACGGACCGTTAGAACACTGCGGAGTATTAGAATAGGCCCAAATCCGCTACTTCACGGGCTCCCTCAGACAACCATGTGAATCCATGCCGCCGTGCAGATTCATAGGGTAATTAAACATGCTTAAACCGTTAAACACTTGTTTTTGAAAAGGACGCATTTATTTAATGTCAAGTACTAATATTGTACTCGGTAATATATTTGAGGTTATATAACTTCGCCCTCAAGGTTCAGAGAACTTATATTGCTCTTCTGGTCGTCAGTGATTCGTGTTGCTTCTTTGGAGGTGACCGTCTCAAATTCTGATCATAAGGGTTTTCTTGAGTCTAGATAGAGTCTCTTGGATGATAGTTGGTGGATCTTGAAATTTTGGCTGGTTGTAACACCAAATTATTGGTTACATTAATTAATATAGTTTGACATTTTCTTTCCAAAAAAAACTTCGCCCTCAGAGTCTCAAACATATATATTGATGTGTGAAGTTTTTGCTTCTTGATTTTCTTTCGGTTGGCACCCAGAATTAATTATAATGAGCTTTAAAGACTTTTTTACTTGAAAAAATTTCGATCTAGGAATTTTTTGAAGCTCATGGATATCACTGTGTTAGCTAGGTAGGACTTTAAAAATTAAAGATATTGTTCATCATAGGATTAGAACACAGATAAAGTACACAAATAAGAGTAGTTGTATTAGATTCCCAAGAGTAGGACTTGTATGGCCATATAAAGGAATCAATCTTCTCGAATTAATATTGAATGAGTCCTAAAAACCAATAATGGTTTTATTTGTGTATATCAATATTTTAGTTTTGTTTCTTCAGAAATTTTACAAAAGATTACAATATAATTAAGACTAGAACAATTCTATATGGTCTGACTCATGGGAAAAATTAAAGGTTTAATCAAAGACCAGACGGGCCCTTAGTTTGATGCAAATTAAATATGTAATTGAGGGATGATGAAATTTGACATATACTAAAACATTGTTAACATCCATTGAATCTAATTATCTTGACCTCTATTGTATGGTTTCTTGTGCATCTTGGTTGACCATTCTAAACTCCGGTGCTTCCTTATTAATTCGTTGGATTTAGTCTTAAAATGACATGAACTTTTGTTTAAACATATGAATTATTAACTCAATCAAATGCTAATGTGAAAGGAAGAAAATGAGAACGAGGTAAACACGTTACGTTTGGTGGTGTATGAAATAGTTTCGGTGTACATGAATGACGTGTAAACGTGTGCAATTAACAAATACATATATAACCACCTAATAATAAGTTTAGCGTAGACGGGAAAATACGAAACATACAATTGATCTTAGATAAGAAAGTCTGATTAATACACTAAATACATAAGTACACACTAATAAGAGAGCAAAAGGAATCAAGAGTTTCCGCGACAACTCAATTCACGAGAAAATGATGTAACGAATTGAACTTAAGTGAGGAGCTGCCCGTAGGTAAGTGGGCCACGGTTGAATATTCATATGCTCCGTAGTAAATATTATGGATATACACTACACATTACAATTATATCTTATTATGTTAACAATATATATCTATTAATAATTAAAGATGAAAAGATGTTTTCATGTGGAAGTGAAAAGTCGTGTATATATATATATAGGTAAATTACTCTAAATAGGATTAAAAACGTTGCTGAATTCCAAAATAGGATTATCATGTTTTTATTACCAAAATAATACTTCATATTAGTACTAATTATTGTCATGTTTTGTCAATATCAGATTTTAAACATGACAATATTTTTCAAAATTGACAATAATTACTCATATTTTTT